ATATAGCTAAACAAGCTCAATATTAGCTCCAGAATCCATGATTACTTACTACGACTCAGGATATAAACAGGCTGGTCATTTATAGATTGCCTCGCCTATAAAACTATCATGCACTCTAGGCTGCTATTATGAGGGATTACCTCACCTAAACATAATACAAATAAATCTTATCATTGTAAATATATATTCAGGGCAAGTGATGACGAAGAAATTATGTTGCCTAACTAATTATCATAAACTATTACGATTATGCTAATATTTTTTCTTTTTCCTTTGCCTTAAAATTCCAAAGCATATAAATATATATTCTTATATATTCAGGGCAAGTGATGACGAAGAATAAATTCAATAATAGAGATATCAACTGCTTACAAATATATCAACATGCAAAATAAATGGTAATGACATGAACGACAAAGCACAAATGAATATTAAGATACCATAATAACATGCTAATAAGATTGCAAAGAATTCAACTACTTAAAAGGATTTTAACTTCCAAAATTGCAGGACATTAGATATGCAAAACTAATAAATAATAGTTTAATCCAATACTATATTAATCAACTCCTAATTATAGACATATAAAGGATCGGGTAAAACAATAAATTACGACGAATCAAAGATTCAATTGTTAGACCCTAGAGGGGGGGGGGGGGGGGAAGGTCTTATGCTAATCTAATCCGATTAAATACCAATTAGGGTAATATGATGAGCAATACACAAAGGCGATATAAGATATGAAAACAAGAATAAGAACGCCAATGCAATCACAAACACACGATATGATCACGGAGTTCGGACCTTCCGTCCTACGTCTCCGCTCCCCACTCCCGGGGAGAATTCCACTATCACAACCGGGTTTTCTACGTTCACCCGAACAACGTTTACACCTCACAGTATCGGTTTTCAACGCTCACCGATCAACGTCACTCCTCACAATCGGTTTTCTAGTTCACCGAAAACTTTCACACCACACTCGGTTTCTAGCTCACCGAAAACCTAACAATCTCACAATGTAACAAATATAAATTGTTCTCTAATATGGATGAGAACACAATAAAAGCTCACACTCAATGCTACAACTCTCACAACCCTAATATATTATGAATGCAAATACAATAAGCTCAAAGTGGGTGTGTGTAACAATGAGTGAAATCAAATCTAAACTCAATATAAAACTAGCTTTAATAGAATTTGATAATTAACAAATAACAAATGAAAGCTAGAGTAGAGTTTAGAAAACTTCTCAATGAATAACAAGATGGAGAGATGGAGATTGAAGCCCAAACAAGAAGATGATCTCCTCCACTTGTGAAAACTTCTTCACAAACAAAAACAAACCCTTAAACACACTTAAACCCTTGTTTAAAACTTGTTTAAAAACTTCTTTAAAACATTCTTGATGCATAGAAAAGAGATCAGCAATTGGGTATTTATACCCACTCAAGATCTCAACAAAAACCCCAAACAAAATGACAAAACAACCCTAGACAAATCAGCTCAGAAATAGCTCTTAGGAGACAACGGCTCTATTGTCGGTCGACCGGAAATTCTGTCGGTCGATCGATGGAGAGCAAAAACCCGAAGAAATGGTCTGGACCATCGTCGGTCGACCGGTGCGGTCGACCGATGGAGCTTTCGGTCGACCAGTGATGAAAGATCAAATGATCGGTCGACCGGTTCGGTCGACCGAATACTGATACATAGAAAACAGGTTTTGAAGGCTGTATATCTGATTTTAAAACACTGTTTAAAAATATCAAATAAATTCAAAAAAATGTAAAACTTTGGGGAATGATTGTAGACATAATAATAAACATGGTACAATGACTGGTTATCAGAAAGGACTTCCCAAATGTAAAATATCATCATTTTGCAAGGAGGTCCAAAACACGAAAATATAAACACATGAGTTTTGACATTTTAGCTAAACCATGTTTTGAAACAATACAAAATGATTTTATAGACTTAATAGAAGATGTAAACTATTGTTATGAAGTCTATAAACAATGAATGTAGTATTTTATCAAAATACACATATAATGCACTAAAACATGATTTCATTAAACTAAATAAAATTGATATTGATAAAATCATATAAATGTATTAAGTATGAAACAAAAAAGTGTTTTCCAATTGTATTCAATTGTTTCATAGTAAAACTTGAAAACTATCAAACCAAAACATATGTATGTATATATAACTATATATATACAAAAACCAAAACGTGTATGTGTGTATATGATTGAGCTTAAAGTACTAACACACATAATATAAATTCCTAAACTAAATTACCCAAGCAATGATCTTGATCTTCAATAAGCTTGACTTGGTAATCTCGCGGATGAAGCTTGAACTTGGATCTTGAACTTTGAATAGCAAGGCTTCACCGACATTCCGCCAACCTCCTTTGGATATGATCGTTGAAGCTCTATTCCATCCATCCTCCAACAACGTTGTTTGTCTACAAAACATAGGAATGCACAAACAATAGACAAACAACATTAGTAATAAATTGTTTGTTAAACATCATCAAAACAAGAAGGCCAACAATCTCCCCCTTTTTGATGATGACAAACAATTTACAAAAAAAGGAGTATGTATATGAAAATATATTTGTTTTATATCTAAATAGTTAAACCAAATCACAATAATAAATATGAAATATGTAATTTCATATTTATAAACATGAAAGCCAAAACTTGTGTTGTATATATATATGACTATATATATACAAAGAAACCAATGAAATATGTGTGTATATGATATTGAGCTTAACGTACTTAATACACATAATATAAAACCTAAACTAAGTTACCCAAGCTTGATCTGGTCTTCAATGTAGCTCAACTTGGTAAACTCGCGGATGAAGCTTGAACTTGATCTTTAACTTTGAATTGCTTGAACTTGATCTTTAACTTTGAATTGCATAAGCTTCACCGACATTCCGCCAACCTCCTCTTGATATGATCGTTGAAGCGCAATCCATCCAACCTCCAACTCGTTGTTTGTCTATGATAAATAAAAATATACCAACACTAGACAAACAACATTAGTGGTAAATTGTTTGTTAAACATCATCAAAACAAAGAGGCCAACATCAATTGCTTAGAAAGAGATAAACAACAACTTAAAATGGCACAGATCTTGAACAAAGAGGCTGAATTTGGATGGATCAAACGCGTAGTAGAGGAATACACCATCAACTTCAAATATTCCCTATGTCGCTGATCATTCAATTGCAATAGAAGAAGGGATGGACTAATCTGGAGTTTTTCCTCACAAGAAGGGATGACCTAAATTAGGGTTTTCTCCGATCGAGAAAATCGACGGATCTAGAAAAGAGAACGACAAAGAGGAAAGTGATGGAGTTAATGGGGTTTTCTCCGATCCAGGAAATCACCGGATCTAGAGAAGAGAACGGCTAAGACGAAAGGGAGGGTATTAATGAGGATTTTCTCCGAGGCAAGGAATCGACGAGTCTAGAAAAGAAAAAGACGAAGAGGGAAGGGATATGCATGGCCTTAATGGGGTTGTCTCCGAGGCAAATGAATCGACGGATCTAGAAAGCTTTAAGCTTTTACGAATAAGTCTTTCACATTTCAGTAAATTGCATATATAATAACATATTTTGTTGCAAAGTTAAAGAAATCAAATATTGTTTATGAGAATATACAATTTGCTTTTTTTGGCAAATAAGTCATTCCAATATAACAGACTTAAATTTTGCTTAAGTCTTCGTATTATTTCTCAGTAAAATACAAGTTGCTCTTTACAATATATCATACAATAATAATCAATAGTTTATGAATTAAATGTATTCTTAAATAACAGTTTGTTTATTTTATGCACTACTATATGTATTTCGAGTTCCGAGTGTTAACAATATTGTACTGTATGATAAAATTTATATAGATAGACGTAATATCTATTACTTTATACAAATAGGAGGATCAGAGATTCACTGTTCATGCTACAGTAAATGCTACAGTAGCATTTACTGTAGCATTATTACTATAACTAATAATTAATTAAAAATAGTACTGTAGCACATGGGTATACTGTAACATTTAACAGGTATTGTAGCAGAGCGGGATACTGTAGCACTTTCAAAAATTCAAATCATGCCATATTAAAAAAACGAGATTACTGTAGAAAAAAAAAAAAAAAATACCGTGCTTTGCACGGACCGCAAACTAGTTAATGTTAATAGTGTTCGATTTTCGGGTATGCCCGTGCTTAGGACGGGCCACAATACTACTATGAATTTAGAGCCGGACTAAATTTTCCCTAAAATATTATTTTACTGCCCGAGGACACCGATCTCGGACCCTATAGAAATCCATCTTCATCTCAATACAGATCACAGAGAGATGAGAGAAAGCCAAGACAAAACCCTCTCCCCTCCTTTCATCTCATTATCATCATCGCTGCTGCTGCTGCTGCTCATAATAATCGCGCTATTATCTCACTCTATTCCGGCGGCACAATGCACCGCC